AACTAGCACTGGATTGCCTAGTATTTGGCTAGCCACTGGGGACTCGCTAGTTCTTAGGCTAGCAGTGGGCTGTTGTATCTTAGCTTGCAGTGGGCCTGCTGTTATTAGCTGCAGTGGGCTGCCTAGTATCTTAGATAGCAGTTGGCTGCCTAGTATCTTAGCTAGCACTGGGCTGCCTAGTATCTTAGCTAGCACTGGGCTGCCTAGTATCTTAACTAGACGGGGGTGCTAGTATCTTAGCCAGCACTAGGTGCCTGTTATCTTAAATAGCACTGGACTGCTTGTATTTGTCTGCACTGGGCTGCCTAGTATCTTAGTAGCACTGGGCTGCCTAGTATCTTAGCTAGCACTGGGCTGCCTAGTACCTTAGCTAGCACTGGGCTGCCTAGTATCTAAGCTAGCAGTGGGCTGCCAAGTATCTTAGCTAGCACTGGGCTGCCTAGTATCTAAGCTAGCCGTGGGCTGCCTAGTATTGTTTAGCTAGCACTCGGTGCCCTAGTATCTTAGCTTAGCATGGGTGCCTAGTATCGTAGTAGCACTGGGTGCCTAGTTCTTAGCTAGCACTGGGCTGGCCTAGTATCTTAGCTAGCACTGGGCTCTGCTAGGTTTTCTTAGCTAGCACTGGGCTGCCTAGTAATCTTAGCACTGGGCGGTCAATGGTATCTTAGCTAGCACTGGGGCTGCCTAGTATCTTAGTAAACTGGGAGGGCCTAAGTATCTTAGCTTAGCCACTGGGCTTGCCTAGTATTTAGCTAAGCACTGGGCTGCCTTCGTATTTAGCTAGCAGTGGGCTGCCTAGTATCTTAGCTAAGCGTGGGTTGCTAGTATTTAGTAAGCACTGCACTTGGCTCTAGTATCTTAGTAGCACCTGGGCTGCCTAGTATCATAGCAAGCATTGCACTAGCCTAGTATCTTAGCTAGGACTGTGCTGCCTTGTATATTAGCTAGCAGGTGGGCTGCTAGTATCTTAGCTAGCAGTGGCTGCCATTATCTTTAGCTAGCGTGGGCTGCCTAGTATCTTAGCTAGCACTGGGCTGCCTAGTATCTTAGCTAGCACTGGGTGCTAGTATGTCTCAGCTAGCATTGGGCTGCCTAGTATTCTTTGCTAGCTCTGGGCTGCCTGTATCTTAGCTAGCCACTGCACTGCCTAGGATCTTAGTAGCACTGAGCTGCCTAGTATCTTAGCTAGCACTGCACTGCCTAGTATCTTAGCTAGCACTGTGCTGCCTAGTATCTTAGCTAGCAGTGGGCTGCCTAGTATCTTAGCTAGCACTGCACTGCCTAGTATCTTAGCTAGCACTGTGCTGCCTAGTATCTTAGCTAGCAGTGGGCTGCCTAGTATCTTAGCTAGCAGTGGGCTGCCTAGTATCTTAGCTAGCTGTGGGCTGCCTAGTTCTAGCTAGCACTGGGCTGCTAGTATTTAGGCTAGCAGTGGGGCGCAGCCTAGTATCTAGCTAGCAGGGGGCTGCTAGTAGTATCTTTAGCTAGCTGTGGGCTGCCTTGTTCTTAGCTAGCATGGGCTGCCTAGTATCTTAGCTAGCAGTGGGCTGCCTAGTATCTTAGCTAGCAGTGGGCTGCCTAGTATCTTAGCTAGCACTGGGCTGCCTAGTATCTTAGCTAGCAGTGGGTGCCCGTTTTTTTTTTTTTTTCCCTTCCCTTAATTTTTTTTTTTTTGTATCTTTGCTAGGCACTGGGCTGCTTTGTAATCTTAGCTGTGATCTACTTTGTTTTAATAGCATTGTTATTATAAGCTTTCTTCCTATTATTTTCTGACCCACTGGTCACTTTTGTGGTTGCAAGGGTCGAGTCACAGCTCCTGGCCCCACCTCTTCGCTGGTTGATACTAGTGTGTGTGTGTCAGTGTAACTTAATGCTCTAGTGAAGGTATTTTACTGGTATCAGGTGTTAGGCTAGGTTAGGTTAGGCTAGGTTAGGATTATACCTTTACCTTGATAATAGCCTTGTGATTGAGTTTTCGAGAGTTTTATTACTCTTGAGCTCAGTCAGTCTGATGGTTGCCTGGTCCAACCGGCTGTTGCGGCTGGTGCGCTTCCTGCCCTCTCCTGGACGGTGGCCGGGGTATTGTACCGCCTTCACACACGGAGGACCCGGGTTCGATTCCCGGCGGGTGGAAACCATTCGACGAGTTTCCTTACACCCTGTTGTCCTGTTCACTAGCAGGCAATTAGGTAACTGGGTGTTAGTGGATGGTGTGGCGTCGCATCCTGGGGGGACAAGATTAAGGACCACAATGGAAATAAGTTAGGGACAGTCCTGGATGGCGCACTGACTCTTCTTTTTGTGTATCCTGGGTGGCTAACCCCCCGGGGTTAAAAATCCGAATGAAATCTTATCATTATCTTATCTTATCTTACATATCCTAACAGCTGATTGATCTGGGAACAGGTGAAAGATACTTGTCCAGATCAACCGGTAGTGATGGATATGGTTAGGAAGTAAGTTAGTTAGGTAAAGTTAGGCTAGGTTAGGTAAATGTTAGGCTAGGTTAGGGTAGTTAGGTTAGGTAATGGTAAGTTAGGTTACGTTTTAGGGTAAGTTAGGCTAGTAGGTTAGGTTATGGTAAGTTTGGTTGGGTTGAGTAGGTAGGTTAGGTTAGGTAAGTTAGACTAGGTTAAAGTTAGGTTTATTTTACATCGCTAGGTTAGGTTACATTCTAGTACTGTAAGATACTGCGAAGATAGTTACGATAAAGATACATGACCTGAAGATAGGTGCAGTAAAGATAGTGACCTGAAGATTGGTACAGTAAAGATATGACATGACGATAGATTACAATAAAGATTACTGACCTGAAGATAGGTCATTAAAGATACTGACCTGAAGATAGGTACAGTAAAGTTCTGACAGAAGATAGATTACGTAAAGATAATGACATGTAAGATAGGTACAGTAAAGATAATGACCGAAGATAGTATACAGTAAAGTACTGACTGGATAGGTACAGTAAAGATACTGAAACTGAAGGTAGGTTCAGTAAAGATACTGACCTGAAGAATAGGTACAGTAAATATTACTAATGAAGTAGGTACAATAAAGATATGACCTGACAAGATAGGTACAATAAAGATACTGACCTGAACATAGGTACATAAAGATATGACCTGAAGACAGCTACAGTAAAGATATGGCTAAAAAAAAATAGGTACAATAAAGTTACTGACTGATGCGAGTACAGCTGCAGTACTATCTTTGTACAGAGAATAAGTAGAATTTGGTACC